TGGTGGGTAAATAACTTTTTGTGTGTGTGTGAGGCGGAGTCTCACTCTGTAGCCCAGGCTGGAGTGCAGTGGCGCAATCTCGGCTCACTGCAAGCTCCGCCTCCAGGGTTCACACCATTCTCCTGCCTCAGCCTCCCAAGTAGCTGTGACTACAGGCGCCTGCCACCACGCCTGGCTAATTTTTTGTATTTTTAGTACAAACGGGGCTTCACCGTGTTAGCCAGGATGATCTCAATCTCCTGACCTCGTGATCCACCCGCCTTGGCCTCCCAAAGAGCTGAGATTACAGGGTAAATTACTTTTCACTCTAGTATAAAAGTTAATAGACAAAGTATTAAAAATAACTATCACTAAAAAATGTTAAGAGACTCACAGTATGAATAGATGTAAATTGTGACAATAATAACATAAAGTATGTGTTTGGGGGGATAATTGAAAGTGTAGTTTTTGTACACGATTAAATTTAAGTTGTTATCAGCTTAAACTGTAATAACAATAAGATGTTTTATTTAAGCCCAAGGTAATCACAAAAAAAGAAACCCCATAGAGGTTACATTAAAAAAGAGAAAGGAATCAAAGCACACTTATACCAAAAAAAGAACAACAGCCCAACAAAATACAAAGGAAGAGACAAACAGAAGAAAAGACACTGAAAGGAATGGCAAGACTAACAGATAGCAACTTAAAAATGACAATAGTAAATCCTTTTCTATCAATAATAACTTTAAATGTAAATGGGTTAAAATCCTCCCCAGTCAAAAGACATAGAGTGGCTGGATGGATTTTTTTTAGAAAGCAAGGCCAGCCAGGCATGGTGGTTCATGCCTGTAATCCCAGCATTTGGGGAGGCTAAGGCAGGTGGATAACTTGAGGTCAGGAGTTCAAGACCAGTCTGGCCAACATGGTGAGACCCTGTCTCTGCTGAAAATACAAAAATTAGCTGAGCGTGGTGATGGGCACCTGTAGTCCCAGCTACTCGGGAGGCTGAGGCAGTAGAATCACTTGAATCCGGAAGGTGGAGGTTGCAGTGAGCCGAGATCATGCCACTGCACTCCAGCTCAGTGACAGAACGAGACTCCATCTCAAATAGTAATAATAATAATAATAGTTTAAAAAACCAAGACCCAACCTATGCTGTCTGTGACAAAGTCGTTTTAGATTTAATGAAACATATCAGCTGAAAGTAAAGGGGTGGAAAAAGAAATTACATGCAAATGTTAACAGAAAGAGACCAGGAGTGACTATATTTATATCAGACAAACTAAACTTTCAGTCAAAAACTGTCTCAAGAGACAAAAAAGGATTTTTACAATGATAAAATATCAATCCACCAGCAAGATACAACAGTCATAACTATGTATGCACCCAACATTAAAGCACCTAGATATATAAAGCAAACACTGACAAAACTGAAGGGAGAAATAGAAGAAATACCACAATAGTAGAAGATTCCAAAACTAAATATGGACATGCAAAAGAAAAAAGCACTTTACCCCACATACAAAAGTTAACTCACAATGGTTCAAAAGTCAAGCATGGTGGCTCATGCCTATAATCCCAACAATTTGGGAGGCTGAGTCAGGAGGATTGCTTGAGCCCAGGAGTTAGAGACAACCTAAGCAACATGTGAAATTTCATCTCTGCAAAAAAAAAAAAAAAAAAAAAAAAAACAGAAAAGAAAATAGCTGGGTGTGGTGGCACATGCCTGTAGTCCCAGCTACTTGGGAGGCTGAGGTGAAAGGATCAGATCACCTGAGCCCAGGAGGTTGAGGCT